ATTTCGAATCAGTGAGTCTCACATCAATGATAGGGAAGCTATTGGGGGAAAAATTCTGAAGAAGCAATTTACCTCCATTTGGAGAGGCATGGTTTGATCAGAATAGTCAGCTTGGCTCTATCAGAGGGCCACTTGTCAAGTCTCTACCACTGTACCTTCCCTTTACTGAGTCTATCCTGCTGGTGGGACAGGACAGCCTAGAAATATTGAGGAAGGGGTCTGCAACTTTTGTAGAATCATACCTTTCAGTTAATGAGTGCTAGCTTGGTGATTGAGCATTTTGATATAAGTCCTTGAATGCGAGTGAGGATATCTTGCAGAGTGTCTTTTATTTATTCTTCATTTACGGGTTGTGGGCTTCACTGGCTAGGCAGCATTTATTGCCCATCCCTAATTGCCCAGAGGGCAGTTGAGAGTCAACCACATTGCTTTGGGTCTGGAGTCACATGTAGGCCAGACCAGGTAAGGATGGCAGTTTCCTTCCCTAAAGGACAGTAGTGAACCAGATGGGATTTCCCACCCCCCCCCAACAATTGGCAATGGATTCATGGCCCTCATTAGACTCTTAATTCTAGATATTTATTGAATTCAATTTCCAGCATCTGCCATGGCGGGATTTGAACCCTGGTCCCCAGGACATTATCTGGGTCTCTGGATTAACAGTCCAGCGATAATACCACTAGGCCATTAACTCCAGCTTCAGTTGACGCCGAGGGACGTGGTCTGTTTTTGTTTTAGGATTTCTGTTGTGGTTCGATACTATTTAGTGGCTTGCAGTGTCATTTCAGACGATCCTTAAACCACACAATATCTTGACTGGCATAATCAAACTTCTTTTTGCTTTTCTTTTAATTGTAATTGTCCACAGCTTTGTTTTTCTACTCCCATTATCAATAACAATATCATCTGTTGGATGGACCGATCAACAAACATAAAAAACTAACCAAGGTATTGGGGCAAACTTTAATTCCCTTTGTTCAATAGGAATTGGGTGGAAAAAAGATTCAGTGGAATACTGTTTGCTTTTTTTTTATAACCTGAGAGCTGACCAATGAATGTAAATGAATCCCAGGAGTAAAAATACAGGCAGTGTGGTACAGGTCAGTAACTTCCCTGCCTCTGAGCCAGCCACTCTGAGTTCAAGTCCCCAGGACTTGATGACCAAGGAAGGGGTTATCACAATTTGAGGATCAAACTGTAATTTCCTACAACATATGCCAGTTGTGGGTGATAGAATGTGAGAAATTTCTGGTCAGCCATGTGCTGAAATTAGAGGGTCTAATCATGATTCATGGGTCTGGACTAGAACATCCAAAAATGCATGTTATCACAACATGTCTGATTCCTGGGGCTGGTTGGCTCAGATGGCTCATATGGTTCAGATTTTTGCCAACAGCATGGGATTTAATCCACGTTGCAGCTGAGATGATTTGGAACCTGCCTCCTTGCCCTACATGAGTCGGAGGTTCTGGCACTGTGAATTAAACCTACTTTTGGGCATTGAACTCGAGGAAGAAATTTCAAATCGCGTGGTACTGAAATTCATATCAAATTCATGATTTTGCATTCCCCTCAACTGACTCATTTGAAATTCTATTATGTCAAGATAATTAATCTATTCTACCAACATTATTTAAAAAATCATGGGTCAAAACCTGTGTACTTTCCCTTTTAAAGCTGAAACACAGCACTGTAAGGAAATGAGCACTGTGTTTGGAGCTTTATTACTAGAAATGGAGCAATGATAATGAAAGCAACAAAGCCATTAATCATCTTTTAATGCTAAACAAAACAAAACAAAATCATGTCTGACTTTTCTGCTTTAATGTATCTCTGTCTTAATTGTGATATTTGTCTTTTCCTGCAGCTGTTCTAAGATCTCAGTATGTGGTATTTTAGCTGCCTATCTATTACAGGCTTAGCTATTTTGCATGTATAATGATGCTGGCAACCTGATGTTACATGAACAATGGTGTTTCTATTAGATTGAAACTGCTTGAAGAGGAAAGAACATGGAGAAACCCGTTAGATTAGTGGCATCAGATAGTGGAGATTATGGGGTGGAAGAGGTTTGTTGAATAATGATGATGGGTATGTAATTTTCTTTTGAGGGAAAATTGCTGGAAAACAAAAGCAGCTTAGTAAATGGGAGGGTGGTATGTTATTTATACTCCTGCAGCTTCCTGCAGAATGTCAGTAAAATTAAACCATAAAAGTTCAATATATTTTCTTCTTTTGCACAAAATTAGAATTCTGTATAGTTCATATTTTCATCAATGGTGCTTTTCCTGATTTTATTTGACTGATCGGTTGTTAATTGGTTAATGCTGCCAGTCATTCCTATAATGAAATTTGCTAACTTGTATCTGTAACTGCAATTTTAATAATAAATTTAAAGGTGAGATAATGCGTTAGCACAAGATGTTTAATCTTGAACTAAGATCATTTGTGTGCCAGAAATATGCAATGAAGACTTATTCTGATGGTTGCAATGGCCTGGTGCCAAATAAATTTGGGGAATCACTCCAGTTCCTAATGGACATGATGCATCACAAGGACCCCTGTCCATTATATTACATTCTGTCAGATTTTTAACTTTCTTAAAAAAAAAAAATGGAAAACAGGTTTGTTCGGTAATGGACCTAATCGATTTTTTTTCTTAAACTCTCTCATGTCATGCAATGATTGTGGCCTTAGAATACTGAATGTGGGTTATTAGGCTTTGTTGATATTTTTGTTTTAATTTAATTTGAATTTTATATCTTTTATAACGGCAAATTTAATTTTGAATCTATTTTGGCTGAGTTTCATTTTTGTCAAGTAGTTAGTTATAATAATTTTCTAAGTGTGTGTAGCATTACTGTTGCTCCATAGGCGTTATTATACCAAATATTACAGCTGTTTATAGTGATAAATGGTTCAATTAGCTTGTTTTAAAAACTGCAGTTTCTAGCAACAAAAGTTATCTTTTATACATAGAACAAAATCCTTATTCTATGTATATATGAAGCCCCCTGCAGCAGTGTTAGACCCAGGTTCGATATATTTTCATACTTGCTGCAGTAATGTGTGCTGTTATGAGGTTGGGTCAAATAAGCATTTTCAACAGAACAAGGACTTAACGCTGACCTGGTAGCACTTGCTTGTGCAGTTCCCAGCACTGAACACATGATGAACATAGGGTTTTCATTAAATTTTTGTCAAAAGAAGCAATTGATTGTGAAATACACCCACCTGAATTGATATGAAACTATGCATTAATCTTGTGAAGGATGCCTGAATTTTACAGCAAGCTTTGTCTGAAGGCTTAGAACATTTTAAACAGCATGTTTTCACAGGTTTTTATATTGGCTGCTTTCTGTTAACTCTACTATTATTGGTTTGAGTAGAAAAATAGTGATTTTTCTGGGGCTGGAAAGTGCCTCAAGTCGATCCGCACCTGACTCAAAATGCTGAACAAATAGGTTGGTTATTGTGCATGATAATTGCAAAATTTAAAAAAAACTTTGCAGAGCATCTTTTCTGATATCAGTTTGTCTTAAAGCACTTAAGAAAATCATACTGTGGTATGACGTATGGTATGTACTATGACTAAATTGTAAACATGTGACTATCAATAATTAAAAACATGTTTTTTCAAATAAAAGGCAGTTTTTTCCCAAAATCACTTTACTTCAGGGCACTGAGATTTTTCACACATTTACTTTTCTTTCTACACAACTGAAGTCCCTAAAATTTAAAAAATAAACAAAGAGCTTGCATAATATGTTATATAACAATCTCGGCATTGCAAAGTGCTTCACAACCAATTAAGTGCTTGGAAAGTCTGATCACTAATGTAGGAAATAACGGGAATTAATTTATACACAGCCTCGGTAAGAAGTAATAAGATGAATGACTGACTATTTGTGGTGTTGGCAGAGGGGAAATACCTTTCAAAAAGGTCTATGGGCTGTTTTATATCTATCTAATCAGGCAGATGGGGACATGGGTTCAAAGTCTTATGCGGGATTAATTGAGCTAATTTAGTATTTTGTTCTGAGGTTTAAGAATAATACTTAATTATTGTTTCTTCAAAATTCTGTATTCCAGTTTCCACTTCTCTAGCTGGCATCTCCCTTTGCAGTTGGTCCATGTTACTCTTAACAGCAAGTTGATATAAATCTTCCTGTCTTGGTTCTCATTTTTCTTTTACTGCTTGGTCACCTATTTCCATTAAGGATCTCTCTTCTCTCTCCCTTTCATTGCATGCAGGATTGCAGTAAAGATCTTTGAGCTGGAACTTGATCCAGTTTGATATTTATTGCTTGCTTTGGGTACTGTCATTGAGTTTATTTTTAAATTTAGCAAGCAAAAGATTTGGCTCAAAATGTTAGATGTTAGTGCAGTTTCTCTTTTCTTTCTAATGGTAGTGAAGCCACGTCTTGACTTATCCAGCAGTTTATATTCATTTATACAAAGCCTGCAGCTCAGTGTGCTCGTTGTTTTGGAGGACATTTTGTGGAGCCATTGCTTGGAACCCAACGTCTTGCGTTGTGTAGCTTAGTAGTGGAGCCTAGATTGTCATTTGATATCTACTGTTTCCAAGTAGATTAATATATTTGGAAATCGTGTATAAAAATTATTTGAGTATGATGAGAGATATGAAATGGAAAACTCTGCTAGTCTATGGTTCTGTATTTTGCACAGTAGGTTTAATGGTCTTTTTGCAAAGACATTTATTATAATTTGCAAAAAGTATCTATTTTTGATTTTTGAAATATTTTAGTTTTAATAGGTTTTTCATCATTTGCCTGTTTTCATTTGTAGTCAGTTGGATTTCTTCACCCAGATGGAATGTTTTGGCACAGACTTCCAATAGCTTTCATGAGTACCAACATTTTTGGCAACTTACTTTAGGAAAAGAAACATGATACTAGGGATTCCCAGTACTTGTTTCTTTTAAAAATTGTCTTTTTTTTGTATGTAATGTGTGAATTAAAACTTTTCTTAATCTACAGGAGACTTTACAGCAGTTAATTATGATGTCTCTACCAAATGTCCTTGTCCTGGGCCGAACCCCCTTCACAGGTAAGTTCATATGATTGTAATACAGTTGTTTTTAATTTGTAATGTTATATGATTAAGGATTTAAAAAAACATAAACATTTAACTTGAACCAGCTACAAATCTGGACAGAACTCTCAATTTCTGTGGCACGTACTAATTTTTGTAACTGGTTGCAGAAACAACTGGCAACCAGACATCTATTCTGGGTGAACTTTCTTCATTTGCATGAACTGCCATGCTCAGAAATTAAGTTGGTCTGAAATTGTTTGATGCATGTTTATCTGTTAACTTTTGAACATTACAATGGAGCACATGTAGTCAAACTGGCTGAATCAATGAAGAGGATTTCTTGCAAAATTATAGTTAGATCCTAACTAATTCTTTCCGTACAAGGTGTGAGTTCTGTTCGCGCTTTCTAGTTGCTTGCGGATCTGCAAGGCATACCTATGATGTTAAAGAATTCTTAAGATTGATTTGTTGGATTTAGTTCTGCAGAATCTTTAATTATACTTGTCCAAACATAACATGAAAGTTTACAAAAGTCATTGATGTAAAACTTCAAATTTGCATTGTTAAATAATTGTTTTCGATGAACATTTCAACCCACGTGAACTTATTTGTTCTTTGTTTACTTAAGTGATCTATTCAGCTGTCTCAATGTTTCTGTGCCATATTCTCATTTTTTTTTTGAGTAAATCTGTTCATTTTAATCTCCACTTTTGGTGTTGTGTGTATCCCTTTTGAAGAGGAGCAGAAGTGAATATACATGATCTTGCTTGTAAATTTGATAATAAAGAACATGCCATCAGTAGTAGACCTTTAGCTCCTTAAACCTACTGTATCTTTCTTTTAGATTATGGCTAATTGTCACCTTAACACACTCTCTATTTGAACAACCTATATCCATATCCTTTCATACTTTTTACATAGGAACGGGAGTAGGCCATTCAGACCCCCAATTCTGTTCCACCATTCAATGAGATCATGGCTGCTCTGTACTGCCTTGGCCTGTGTCTTTAAAACATTTGCTTAACAAAAGGGTATCCATCTCAGATTTAAAATTAACAAATGATCCTGCATCAATTGCCATTTGTGGAAGAGTGTTCCAAATATTTTCAGAGGGCAAATCAGGGCAGGGCTTAATGGTAAGGTCCTGGGAGTGTTGCCGAACAAAGACCTTGGGGTGCAGGTTCATAGTTCCTTGAAAGCAGAGTCGCAGGTAGACAAGATAGTGAAAAAAACAATTGGTACGCTTGCCTTTAATTAGTCAATGCATTGAGTATAGGAGTTGGGAGGTCATGTTACAGCTGTACAAGACATTGGTTTGGCCACTTTTGGAATACTGCATTCAGTTCTGGTCTCACTGCTATGGGAAGGATGTTGTGAAATCTGATAAGGTTCAGAAAAGATTTACAAGGATGTTACCAGGGTTGGAGGGTTTGAGCTATAGGGTGAGGCCATTTTCCCTGGAGCGTAGGAGGCTGAAGGGGGACCGTTATAGAGATTCTTAAAATCATGAGGGGTATGGATAGGCTGAAAAGTCAAGGTCTTTTCCCTGGGGTAGGGAAGTCCAAAACTAGAGGAAATAGGTTTTAAGGTGAGGGGAAAAATTTAAAAGGGACTTAAGGGGCAGTGTTTTCATGCAGGGGGTGGTCGGTGTATGCAGTGAGTTGCCAGAGGAAGTGGTGGGGGCTGGTACAGTTACAGCATTTAAAAAGCAACTGGATGGGTATATGAATAGAGGGTTTACAGGGATATGGGCCAAATTCTGGCAAATGGGACCAGATTTATTTAGGATATCTGGTTGGCATCGGCGAGTTGGACTGACGGGTCTTTCTGTGATGTATGTCTCTTACTCTAATTATCACCCTTTGTATGTAGAATTGCTTCCTAACATGTCTCCTGAATTGTCAGGTCCTAATTCACAGACCAGGCCCCCAGTTGGGCAGCACGGTGGCTCAGTGGTAAGCACTGCTGTCTCTCAGTGCCAGGGACCTGAGTTCGATTTCAGCCTCTGGCGACCGTTTGTGTGGAGTTTGCACGTTCTCCCATGTCAGCATGGGTTTCCTCTGGGTGCTCTGGTTTCCTCCCACAGTCCAAAGATGTGCAGGCTAGGTAGTTTGGCCATAGGAAATCCAGGGATATTGGATAGGCGGGTGATTCTGGGAGGGATGCTCTTCGGAAGGTTGGTGTGGACTCGATGGGCAGAATGGCCTGCTTCCACACTGTAGGGATTCTATGACAGTTCTAGAATCCCCTAGCAGTGATGATAATTTATCTTTGTCAACCCTGTCTGTTCTTGTTAATACCTTGAAGCCTTTGATCAGATCACAAATTTCAGAGAAAACGGGCCTAATTCAAATAATTGCTTACCCTAACTTAATCCCCGAAGTCCAGGTATCATTCTTATAAATCTACATTGTACTCCCTCTATGGACAACATACCCTTCCTAAGGTGTGGTACCCAGGTCTGCTCATAGTGCTCAAAATGGGTCCAGATGGGGTCTTGTATTAATGCAGTATAACTTCTGCATCTTTGTACGCCAGTCCTCAAGATATAAAGATTAGTGTTACAATAGATTTCATGATTATTTTCTGCACCTGTTTGTGATATTTTAAACATCTGTGTGCCTGAACCCTCAAGTCTCTTCAGAAAGTCACAGTATTTAACTTCTTACCATCTAGAAAGTACCCTGATGTAGCCTTTTTCAGTCCAAAATGGATAACCTCACACTCTCTCTCACATTGAACTCCATCTGCCACAGTTTTGCCATTCATTTAGTCTATCAGTATGCCATTGTAATTTTATGCTACCGTCTCTCAGTCTACAATGCCACCTAACTTTGTGCCATCAGCAATTTTGGATATATGACTTTACATGCAGCTATCCAAATCGTTGTTACAGTGTGAATAATTGTGTCTCTAATTCAGATCTTGTAGGACACCACCGGCCACGTACTGCCGATTTTTGAATACCTGCCATTCAGACAATTTCCCAGCTATGTCAGTAACAGTTTTGTGGGCTTCTATCTTATGTGGTACTTTTTATATAAATGTCAGAAGGCATTTGATAAACAGTGCCCATAGACATTCCCCTGTTCACTACTTTAATCACCTCTTCAAAAAATTGAGAGGTTTGTTAGGCATGACCTGCCTGTCAGGAATCCATGCTGGCTTTCCCCAATAAACTGAAGGTGTTCAATTACCCCATCCTTGATTTATAGACTCCAACAAATTCCCCATGACCACGTGTAGGCTAACGGTTCTGGAATTCCCTGATTTCCTCTTTTGCCCTTCCTAAATAACAGTGACATGTACAATTTTCCAAACCGGGAGTGGGGTGGCGTGGTTTGGAAGACACTGGTTTTCTATTGTGTTAAATATTTTCTTAAAATATCCTCCACTGTTCTTCAGTTGTTTTACACATTTGGCAGATTTTCTGAATTTACTGTCTCATCTTGTCAAAGTCAGCCTATCTACATTCGTGCTTTTCACTTTCAAACACTACATTGAACTGGTTCATGTTATGATCACTATTTGATAAATGTTCATGCACAATTAGGTTACTGACTAAATCTTCTCATTACTAAATCCAATGTTGCATCCAAGATACATTGCTCTAGAAAACTACCCAGGATACACTCCAGAAATTCACTACCTTTTTCGACTTGTCTGCCTCTCCCAAAATTAAAATTCCCAATTAGTACTGATCTGGCTTTGCTGCACACTTGCCTCACTCTAAGGTCACTCAGAGCTATCAAAAGATCTCAATACCAAAATGACCATTGTCTAATGATTCTTCAGACAGCAGCAAAAACTCAAGTCCCCATGTCGCATTGAAATTCATGGATGTTTCATCAATGCTGCCAGTGTCACAGAATAGAATCATTGGTTGCAGTTGCAGATGGAGGCCATTTAGCTCATCGCATCTGCACTAGCTCTCTGAGTATCTCACTTACTGCTACTCTCCTGCCTTATCCCTGTACCTGCACACATTGTTCCTTTCCAAATAACCATCTAATTTTCTTTTTGAATGCCTTGACTGAACCTGCCTTCACCCCAATCAGTGACAGTGCATTCTAGACTATAACCACTTATGTAAAAATGTTATTCCTCTTCTCACTATTTTTTGCTTCTCTTGCTAAATTCTTTAAATATTTTGTTCTCAATCCTTTCACAAAGGGGAACATTTGCTCCCTACCTGCTTTGCCCAGACCTCTCGTGAATTTGAAGACTTGTATCAGAGATCGTCCCAGTTCTCTTGCTAGCAATCCAAATTTTAAGTGGAAAGGTTTGAAAACGTGAAAAACAAAGCATGAAACATCTAGATTCATGATAGTACTTGTCGTCTCACACTGTAATTTCATCACATCGGTTATGATAATTTTCAAGTGTAAAACTAGGCTGAAAATCAAGTTTCCTGCAACACCCATGATAACATTTTGGATGGATTGAATTTATGAATCAATAATTCTGTGAGGAATGGGTGTCTGGTGGCCTGTGCAAAGAACACAGATTATTAGTTTGTGACATGTGCAGATCCGATATAAAAAAAAAATATGATTAAGCGATGACTGCAAAGAAATAAAAACCAAATTGCAGGTTGTCGTCAGCACTCACTTGCTTATGTGTATGATTGTCCACCTAGAAAATTCCTTGTCACTGGTCATGGGTTCTGTGGATCCTTGCGGACAGATGAGCCCAAATATTTATGCGGCATCTCTGAGTGCACGCTTGACAAGTATTTCTGGGAGGTGGAATTGGTCCTTGGCCTTGAAATTGTTGGCATTCCTTTCTGTACTTGCTCTTACAGTTGGGATGTCTCCGAGAATTGTGTCCTTACAAGAGGTTCCTCCAAATCAATTTCTTCTCAACAAGGGTCTCCCAAGCATTGAATTCCATGTTGTATTTCCTGAGGCAAGCCTTCAGAGAATCTTTGAAATGCCTCCTGTTTCCTCCTTTTGATCCAGTGCATTCCTTGAGTTGGGTGAAGATGATTTGCATTCAGAACTTGGGCATCCTAAGCATGTGGCCAGGTTTGCGGAATTGGTTTTGGATGATCATGGCCTTGATGCTGGTGTGATTGGCTTCTTTAAGGACACTGATGTTAATGTGCCTGTCCTCCCAGCTGATGTGGAGAATCCATCTTGGAGCATCTTGGTACTTATTAATGGGCCTTGAGGTGGCATTTGTACATAGTCCGAATACCAAAGCCATTTAGAGGAGTTGTAAGGGCGACTGCCTTACACACAAGGGTCTTGATGTCAGCAGAGTTGTTAATGTTATCGAAGACCTTTAAGTGTCTTAAGGTGGCGCTCGCAAATTGGATGCAGTATTGAATCCCTGCATCGATATTAGTGTTAGACGAGGGGTAGCTTCCCAGGTAGGGGAAATGTTCCAAGCTTGTGAGGATTTCTCAGTTAATCTTAATTGAGGGTTGGGCCACAATCTGACCTGAAATGGGTTGGTAAAGGGTTGAGGCTGACACCAATTCTTTGGTATGCTTCCATGAAGGTTTTAAACAAGGTTTGAAAGTTGTTTTCTGAGCACACAAAGAAGAGATTGGCATTTACATACTGAAGTTCCACCAGCAACATTGGTGTCGTTTTCTTCTTGAATTTGAATTGGTTAAAGTTGTTTCTCGTCTGCAAGATGGACGATGTCCATGCCAAATTGTGAAACTTCAACTTGACAAGATGAGGAGCGGTGGCAATGAAGATGGAGAAAAGGATGATGGTGATGACATATCGCACTGAAAATCAAGTTCACTGCAATTTTTGCATATCTTTGACAATAGTTGGATGGATTGAATTTATGGAGCAATAATTGAACAAAATGGGTGTCTGCTGGCCTATGCAGAGTAAGCAGATTACTAGTTTGTGACATTTCCAGATCCCTAATAAACTATATGTTAAGGAATTTCTGCAAAGAAATAACACCAAAATTGTAGGTACAAGGAGGTCTAACACCTGTAGTCTGTTCTTAAGAGCAGGAGTTGGACATCTGGTCCTTCAGTCCTCCTCTGACAAACACAATCTTATTGAATGGTAATGTATACATTTCACAGAATGCTGCTGGCAAATGATTTGGATCGTTTGTATTCAGAATGTACCATGGGGAAAAATAAATACTGTAGATTGATTGCACTGCAATTGTCTAAAAATGAAGAATACCACCCTAGGTCACAAAAGAAATTCTGTTTTTATAACTAACATAAATATTGAAGTAGGATTGTTGCTCTGAAATCACATGTATACTGTATTCAACATTTTAGAATGAATTTTGCCAGTATTTGAAGTTATTTCCCCCCCCCCCCTTGCGGTTGAGTCATTGACCAAACTCTAGCTATTTTCAAACTGACCAATTATGCCATGCCCTCATTGTTCGTTTATACAGTGAATCAGGGACAGATTAATGTTAACGTTTCAATATATTTCTTTCATTGTAGTTAATTACAATTAACAATGACAGATTTTTCCAGAATAAGTTAACCTATTTAATGTTACTTACGTAGTTGAATTATAGTAGTTTACGGTTATGGCTGTTTTGTTTCAGAACAAGGTATTGAAGAGATGAAAAAACTTCTTCTGCTTCTGCTAGGCTGTGCTGTTCAGGTTGGTAATTTTTATGTTCACTTTTTAAATCAACTCCCTTTTGCTCTTCAGTTTCTTTTTGAAATTCAAGTTAAAACTTGCCAAGAACAAAGAATATTAAAATGGAAAAGCCCTTTTAGGATATATTATGACATTGAATGTCCCCTGGCTTGACTTTTTTTTGTTGTATCACCATGCTTAATGTGAACCCACCTAATGATACCTTTCCCCACTAATCCATTATTTAAATTGGTAATGGCATAATCAGATTATTTTTGTCTTTTCCAATTAGGTAATTTTTTTTAAAAAAAAGTCTGCAAAAGGTTCAAAGGAATTTTGAAGGTAGCAGGACAGGTAGATAAGGTGGTTAACAAGACATATGGGATGCTTCCCTTTATTAGCCAAGACATGGAATACAAGAGCTGAAAGTTTATGCTGGAGCTTCCAAATTATACCCCATTTTTCCAATAGTAAGAGGTCAATAACCAGACCACACAGCCTTTTACCTTGAATCTGAAAGGAATATAAGAATCTAATTTGTTCATCCAGCGAACAGTGGAAGTCTGTAACCCTACTGCGTAATAGGTAACTGAATCAGAAATCCTCTGTGTTTAAGCTGTATTTGGATATTCACTTGCAGCGTCATAGCCTCTAGGACTATGGTTCATGAATTCTAAAATGGAATTAATGTAGTCAGATCTTTATTGACTGACTGACTGACTGACTGACTGGCATTGATACGATGAGAAAAGTGGCCACCTTTTTCTGTGCTGCAAACTGATAAGCCCCTGTGGTAGTGAGTACCACATTCTTGCTGCCTTTTGGTTAAAATAGTTTCTTCCAAATTTCGTATTGTATTTCTTGCTGACTATCTTTAATCACGCTCTTTCTTACCAGGGAAACGTTTTTTTTTCTATCTCCACGCCATCTTGAGTTTTCATAACTTTATAAACCACATGACGACATAGTAAAAAGTGTACAGTACTCTTGTGCCACGTACTTGAGTACACCTGACAATCAAACCTAAATCTAAATCTAACACATTATTATTAATCTTATCTGAGAAATAAGGTTCAGTCTGTCAATCCTTTCCTGATGCACAAACCCAAGCATTTTTGTCGGCATCCATGTGACTATACTCTGCACCCTTTCTGTTTCTTTTATAAGGTAGTAACTGAAACTGCTCACAGTATGCTTTAAGCATTTGTAAATAAATTTCATTCAGGTTTAGTGCAACTTCCGAACTTTTCCACCTAATCTCTCTAGAAATTAAGTCTATTGTTATGCTGGCTTTTTCATATATGGCTTTGAAGACCTGCGACCTTTTGTGATTGATATGTTTGACCTTAAACGTTTGAAATGCATGCACCTATCTTGATCTTTACCTTCCAATGATCAGCCTGCACCCTTTGGTGCATCCTTCCAGAATTCACTACTTCACCTTTTATCTGTGTTGACATTGAGTTGCCAGTTATCTTCCCAAGTTTATTTATGTCTTCCTGTGATTTGTTGTAAACCTCCTCAATTTTGACTAACTCTTATCACCATCAATTTGGTGGCATGCACAAATGTATTAATTGCGTTTTTTGATTTGAATGGACAAATCATTCATGTAGTTTGTTTCTGGAGCGCATCTTGTAATAGATATACACACTGCTGCCACTAAGTGTGGTGGTGGAAGAAGTGAATGTTGAAGGTGATCAATGGGAGCTGCTCTGTCACCCAAGTAAGTGTAGAGCATTTCTATCACATTCCACACTTGAGCCTCGTAGATAGATAGTCAACAGGCGTTAGGGACATTAGAGATCAATTACTTTTTTCATACTTTCTACCCTCTGACTTGCTGTTGTTGCAACCGTATTTATATGACTAGTGTAATTCATTTTCTGGTCAGTGGTGACTCCTGGGATGATGTTCAAGGGATTATTTACGGTAACGCTATTGAACATGAAGGGAGAAACGGTGAGATTCTGAACAGCATTCGTTCCCATATTGATTCTTGTGGAACACCACTCCTCTCCTTATGCCCCTCAGAATAACTGTCATTTTTCCTATACCTTTTTTTTTCTGTCTTGTATCCAGTTGGCAGTCCTTGCTGCCAATTGTCTCCTGATCCATATTCTCTGACCTTATTCATTATTAAGGGCCTTTGGATATTTCTAATGTTGCATGTATGTAAGTTATGTGCCAATCAGTGAGCTAGTTTGCTTCTAGACAGTGTCAACTCTCGTGTAGCAAGTATTGCTCCAGGTCTGCAAATCAGGATGAATTGTCCTGGTTTCTGATTTATTTTCCACATTTTGATGGAGTCTACTTAACAGTTTTAAACTTTAACCTGCTGTAGATATTTTTGTGCATTACTTTTTCATGTGTTTGGTAATAATGAGCCTTACTTCTGTTTTATTGGCCATCTTCTATCATCCTCCTGCTGTGTTTTGTAATTATATTGAAGTGTTCAGTTATTATATGGTTGCAGAAGAAATTTAACTTAACATTAAACAACAACTTTACTCCAGTGGTGTATGTTCATGAGGCTTAGATTTGACTGAGCTTACAGCCTTCATTCCTATAGTCTTTGCTCTTCCAAGACCGCCCCCCCCCATTAGATCAGTACACTCTCCTTGCAATCATCCTCCACCTCCAGAAAGCAAGCTTACATTAGCTTATAGGGGGATGAGGGTAGAGATCGTGAGTCTTAGCCAGAATCTGGACTCCATCAATCTGCCAAAGCTCTGAATGTTTTATTGCTTGACTTAAGCCGTTTTTAACAATGGTGTTTAGGATGAATCTATTGCTCTAAATCTTGAGTCATAGAGATCTACAACACTCTAACTGTGGCCTAACCAACATTTTATACAGTTCCAGCATAACCACCTGTTCTTAAATTCTATGCCTCAGCTAATTAAAGGCTTATTTCTCAGTTTTTTTAGGGGGTCACCTCATGTCCCAAAAGAATGATGGGGTTAACAGTCTACTTTCATTTTATTCCAGTGTGAGCGAAAGGAAGAATTTATTGAGAGGATAAAAAATCTTGATTTTGATACAAAGGCTGCTGTTGCAACTCATATTCAAGAGGTATGTTCAGCAAATACAGAACAGTAATTTTATAATAACTTCTAACTATTTCTAAGGTGCTTGTATGCAAAGATGTTTGGTGAGAACATGGATATTTCAACTATGAAGCCATTCATTCTTCAGCCTTGTCCTCCTCCTCTCCGCTGCCCTCCAAAAACAAAAAGTTGTAGAGGCCCACATATGAAATATGGAACACGAATTACGGAAATACTGGAGCCTGCTGTTCAGATGTATCAATCCTAAGAGAGAACTCCAAAATTCGAGGTAGTGCGTAGTGGAGAGCATTCAATTACTTAATTCTCATTGTCAGCCAGAGTTGTTAAATTGACTTGTTAATTAAGAAAGGTACTATTTACCCACACTTCTTTCTTTGAACTCACTGTTTTAAGTTAAATACATTTTAGTTTCTGGCTTCAAGTGGTGTTCTCTGTAGGCAAGAAGTAAAGGCATGTCAGTCTAGAGGGATCACTTGTGAACCCAGAACAGACTTCCAATAAAGTAAAAGTATTTTTTTGCATGTCTTCAAAACCTTGTATCCATCTCCATATAAGCTTCAATTATAACTATCACTTTGTGAAATATTTGTTTGTGCATAATGGAATGCAGCCATTCCTCTGTATCCACTAGAGGTCAGTTCCTGAAAAGCCCTCTGAATGATGAATTTACTTACGGTAAAAATAGGGTTGGGTTCCCGGACCTCAAGACTGACTTTTTGCCAATTTTTTTTTTGGGCTAAAAATAATAAACACTAAACCATCTGAAACTGAAGTTAATTTCAATAAGATAAAATATTGAAAACAACTCCAGTGTATTGTAACTGATCGATTAAAGGCGAAAAGTTCTGTGTAGCAGGGCTGGATGTTGTTGGGGGACAATATGGTGATTAATGGGTGTGGAAGGTGGAGATCATTGCAGATGTGCCACCCTCAGTTACTCTTTTGCCCAATGATGTGCCCTCCTCCTCTACTTTCTTCTGGCTCATGTCCTCAACGTGTTCATCTTCCTGAGCACCTAGGCTTGCTCATGGAGGGTTGAGAAGAGCTGTGTACTGAATCATGTCAGAGTGAGAGCAAGGGAGAGATTGCTATATAAGTGAAAGTGGTCGCAGAGGGGTGAGTTTTGCTCGCAGATTTTGAATGATTGGTTTCTTATATTTGAGTTTGCAGATACAGAGGAATGACTATACTAAATATGTGAGAAAAATTCACTGTTCAATTAATGTTCAAGTAAAAATATCAATTTTAAATGTGAAATTTGAAGTAACATTGTACACAAATAATCATTGCTGTAAAAAGGTTGATGCTTATTTTTTCAGCTTTGTTTTATTTTTCATAATGCAATGTCAATAAAATACTATTAAGTATCCCTGGAAATTACAATCCTTTTTTATGTTATAAAGGTGACTCACAATCAAGAAAATGTCTTTGATATGCAGCAGTGGATGGAATTAGCTGATCTCTCCCGTGAGGACCTTAATGTCTTTTTCAAAAAAATGGCAATTAATCTGAAAAGGCTTGTGGATGAAAGAGATGAGCAATGTGAGGTACAATGGCAATTACTATTCTAGAAAATTGTCAAAATTGACTTGATTTAAATGTTGCAGTCAAAATGTACCTGGAAGATTGCAAGATATATTGAGCGAAACATTCCACCTTTCCACTACTTATTTTCCAGCAACGATTCATTTTTAGGTACCTTATTAACAATAAATTACAACATTCATTCGTGAAGTAGCAATTAAACACTGCAGCTTGCTAGTTAAGTACATGCTACAGACCACAACCACGTCTTTGAAAAACTATTGAATATTTGTCATTTAGAAAGCTGGTCATTTAAGAATTCAAGTTTAAAATGTTTCACTGGCAACTTTTAGTTGATACATTGTTGGGGCATGCGTCAAAAATGAGGCAGTAAATTGAGGCTGAAATCTTCAGATCTGATATGTACACTGGTCTCCTTGGTGCAGTTTTCTGATAATTATGCATTCTTTTTGGACCCATGTAAAATTGATATCTGTTAAAATTCTTGCTGGACTTTAGTAAACTTGGGAATTACTTGGTTGGCCCTAATGGTTGTTAATTTTGGCAAAGGATTGGGAAAACAAAATCATTTATGAATGTTTAAAACTGTAAAAATGATCTTGCACCAAAGGTACAGTGCCCAGTTGGGAGATGCTCTAAGGAAATTCCCATTGTTAATTTCTTAAAAGTGTGTTGTTCAGGATTTTGCTTGGAGCTTCTATTGTTATTCCTGACGAGACCCCCAAATTATGTTATGACCTGATTAGGGGCCAGTAATGTTTACTTGCTAGTTAAAGTAGATGAAGTTTGAGATCCCCAGACATGTAATAAGAGAATAAAGCCACAAGATTCTATGCTTTTTTGAACAATTCAACTAAACTTTCCTGTATGAGGTAAAACAAGCTACAACTATATATTCCACCTACGCTCAACACTCGGCATTTGTGGGTAAACAAACTTTGGTCAAATATTCCATCAACCACATCAAAAAAACAGGTGTAGTCAAGACATGTTCCCAGGATTTCTCAGTAACCCCACCCTTACCAATGTTAGGAGTCCCTGTGGGTCTAAAAATCTCACTAAATTTTGTCTCCTTTTACAAGTAATTCCAATTCTTCACGCAAAGACTTAAACTTGGAAGTCTCTCAGAAGCCGTTCCACCACGGACTACCTCAGTAACTGCTCAGATCCTGATCATTTCCGGCTCTTCCCTGAGGTTGTTTTTTGCTGAATTCCCAAGGCTGCACTTCAGCACTCCTCACTGGTGTGATTCCAGCTCTTTTGCAGACAGCCATCTTCATGAATCTGACATTGCCCCTGGGTATTACTGAACCTCAAACTTCCTCTGCTGCATCAACAGATATTACTTGTGGACTTTCTTCACCCCTTTCTTTGCTACACAGCTCTTCAGAGCCATCCACAGCACTTCAGCTGTAGGGACACACTTTCTTTATCTGCTTCTCTCTCTTTAGCATAGACACAGTGACCTTCTGCCATCTTTTCAGGAATTGTCCGAAGCCTGGACTACCTGGAGACTGCTACCACCAGCCTCCTGTTCCTGTTTCTAAGCACTTGACTGACAGCAACATTCTACCGTGACTGTCTTCGGTCAATTTTAGTCAGTTGTTTGAGTTTTGAACTGTTGTTACTTTATTTGATCTTCGTAAACTATCAACCCGTTCCCAGACAAAATAGAATGCAGCAACTACTGGTGCAGGCTGTGCCTTAAATGTTAAAACATCCAGAGGTTGCTGGCTTACGAAGTACAAATGAATGTCAAAAAATAGATTTAATCACACTTTCGAATTATGTGTTTGACACTTTTAAACCTCTCATTGTATTGTAATTATTTCTGACGTTATTTTGCTTTGCTTTGTTTCTCTGTATCCTTGCATCATAACATTTTGAATAGCTAATGCATTTTGAGAAATCTAATGACTTCTCAAACTTGATGGAAGCATTGGTGTGTGATGTGCTTTGGTTACGTTCTCCATTAACTGCAAAATATAGGTATATAAACTTTTTACCTCACCTGCCGCAGCACCCTCTCTTATAAACACTGAACTGCTACTTTGTCATTTCCAATAAGATCAACTTCTATTTCACCAGGGAGGTGATGACAGCTTGTATTCAAACAACACTTAAGTAGCCCAAGGACCTGCAAACAGCTTCACGTCCAGTCACTGGAGAAGAATTAGGAAGGGACACAATTGAGAGCTTATTTTAAAAAGTCACGTAACTTTGAATTGGCATATAGAACCAAAATTGATGAATTTGGTGAGTGCAGGTTGACTCAAATCTCTGCAGCAGAACGTGGTGCTTCGCAGGTTGTGAAGAGGACCAGAATCAGAAGAAGGTGCAGAAACTGAGAGCCGAAGGTCATTGTAGTTATAAGATGGGGTTAGGTTCTTGAAGATGTTGAGAATTTTGAAATTGCATTGGAATTGATGCAGATTATTAGGCACAAGAATGATTGATTGAAGTGTAGAACTTGATGTGAAGTAGGATGGTAGAGTTTTATGAAGTTAAATTTTCTGAGAGGTTGACCTCGGGCTACCAAAAGAAAACTGGAATAATTTCAATTACATAGCTCACCATAAAGTGAATAGGTGTCTCCGTGACAATGGATTGAGGTAGGAACAGAGGTGGGGAATGTTGAGAATAAAAAAAATGGTCTTAATGTGTAGAATGGAAATGAAGGAAAAACTTGAATTTATACCATGAATGTTAAAGGGGATGCTGGAATAGAGACCTGATGGAGTGCACATAAAACCTTTTGAATGTAGAAGGGCAAGTTGAGAAGGCTGTTAAAAAGACGTATGGAAATAGAGGCAGAAAGTAGAAAGGCAAGGACGTTATGCAAAACACTTATTTATCAAAGATTAGACTCCAATTCGACCATGGTGACTAATTCTGGGTACTGCCCTTTGAAAATGGTTTACCAGAACAATGCCAGGGATATGGAACTTAACGCATGTTCTTCTTAGTATGCCAACTATTCCTTCAGGTAGAAAACTCATGATTATACTTTCAATAACTTTTGATGGTGATCTTTGAAGTTTCATTAATGACTGTAAGCTCTTCAGCTCTTCTGGCTTGGGACATCTGTAGACTGCCTTACCCCCAGTCTGCTGACAGCCTCTTTACAGTTTTTATGCTAACTCGTTAAGCTGCTGCTTTTAGCCACAAAGGTCTGTGAGAACTGTTGCAGATAGTTGCAACAACTGTAAGTTGTACCAAATATTCAAACTACTTTTCCCTCATGAAATCAAAGAAAACTGAACAGCCTACTTTGGTCAATAAAAGAAACATGGCATGTTTTGGAATGATTCAACTGGAAAAGCTAAGAACATATTTCATCTTCAACATAACTGTTAGGTCTGCAACTCATGAATAATTCACATTGCTAATGGTTCTTTATGACCTTTTTTCCAGACTGCCTAGTTTCATTATAATTTTAGATGAATTTTTCACGACCAGACCTGAGCTTGCAAGACAAACGTAATTGGCTTTTAAATATGACAAATGTACTTTTGCTTGAGTCGCATTTACATCGGTTATTTATCAGTGTCTCAATCAGATGCCCCAAATTTTAATTTCTCAACCTTACATTCTAAATCTCTCAAACTGAGTTGTGCCTTTTACAACAACAGGTGTTCAAAATTATGACTTTTTCTTAATTTATGTTATTAAAACCTTTCTGAAGATGAAAGTGTGTGTAATGAGAAGACACAGATTTAAGGTAGTTGAAAAAAGAATACTTTCTCACAAGAAATTGCCATGATCTGGAATGCACTGCTTGAAAGGTTGATAAAAGCAGAATCAATTTTATCTTAAAATGAATTTGATAAATGATTCGAATAGCAAAATTTGCTGAACTGTGGAGAGAAAAGTCAAGCGTGGTACAGGTTGAATATCTTTAAAACATCAGACTCATGATATAAATGGCTGAATGGCCTCCTTTGCAATATGATGCTTTGATTTTAAGCTGTTCAAGTACTTTTGGAGTGAAGTCTTTACTGCATTGTTTGAAATGCAACAACCAAGTTGTGCACAGCGAGCTTCAAGAAACAGCATTAAAAGACAGGTTCATATCAATTTTAAGTATATGTTGAGAAATTTGAATTGGCCAAAAAACAGACTCAACGCTTTCTTTTAAATACTGTCATGTGATATTGCCCATTCATCAGAATGGGCTGAAGAATCCCAAATTTAATATCTCATTTGAGGGATGGCAATTCTAACATGTAGCATTCCCTCGGTAATACACTGTGCTAGTCTAAATTATGCTGTTAATTCTCCAGAGTGAGAATTATACCCAGAATTCTTCTGACTTTCAGCAAATCTGCTGTGATTGAACCACAGCTAATTTTTAAATTCTGTTCGGCGACAAACGGGATACTTTGTTCATTGCTGGATATAGCTTGATTAAACTATTACGGATGCAAATTGTTTAGCGGCTGAGGATTTTTACAGCAGTTAAACAGGAAGACTTTGGTGTTCCCAATTTATTATTGCTTTGAAAGACTTGACTGCTAAATATTGAACAACACACTGGTTGAAAATGTACTAGAACCTGAGCTGCATGTTGCCAGTAAAGTTGGTAAAAATTACCCCTGCTCCATGTAGCACAGAATTTTCTTTAATTCAATTGAAATGACCATGATCAGGTGGGATAAGACGTCCTCGAGGAAGGTGTTTCACCAGAAGAAATATTAACAGAATCAACCTAGGACAGTTACAGAAGAGACCTAAGACAGGAGAAGTATGTAACTCCATTATACTTTCATGGAAGCATCAGGAGAGAGAGAGAGATAGAGATAGAGATAGAGATAGAGAAAGAGAAATAGTGCTCCCTGATTATGATTACAAAGCATATTTGAGAAGAGTTGACTTGGTGCTTATTATAATACCTGAACAGACCTGAATTTTTAAAATAAAATTTGAGGTTGTAGTAGTGCACATGTCGTTCATACAGAAAGAAGAGGCCTACACCAGCAGAAATGTTGTTATTAGCAATCTT